CTGCATAAGAATTAAAACACTCATTAACATCATGCCTGGCACAAAGCTGGCATATTATATTAGTTTCTTTACCCTCTTGCCTTTCCCACCTCTAGGTCTTAACTCTCATCCAAGAAATGCCACAACACCACAGTTTGCTCTGTCTCAAGGAATACCATCTGACAAACAACTAAATGCAAGGTAAAAAAAAAAACAAAACTAAACTAAAAAAACACAAAAGACACCAGATTTGGCAACGAGGCACAGAGTACGTGCGAGTAGCATGGCTATCTTGATTTCAAGGTGGTGTTGGATATAACCCTCATGAACAACTGGAAGGCAACAGTCTATTTACAGTGTCACACACACTGCTGCTAGCCCATCTGCTCTCTCCAAATACTTTGCCATTTGGTGCGTGTGAGGTGAGGGGTGGAGGGACACAAGTGGAGAAACCGAGAGAAGATGGAGCCAAAGAAGAATAGGGGCCATCTTCGTAGCTCCAGTTGGATTCCAAAATGTAGCTCTCTGCACTGAAAACTAAGAGTGCTATTCAAACATCAATTATCAACCAAGCAAGTCAGAAAGAATCATAGCGATAGATTCCAAAGTAAGATTATTTTTAATGTGTCCTTTAATGAGGAACAAGGTATGGAGTGTGGTGCATGTTTGAACTATTGTACTTCACTCTAACTAAGCTATGCATTTCCAGATCCTGACTCTTTACTCAGCATACCCTTTCTCTTCCATTCTTGCAGCATTTAAGAATGGACCTCATATCCCTTTGCCTTCCTGTATGTTCCACTTTTTGTTTTCCCTCCTACCTCCTGCCCAGGCCATTTGCAGTGGCCCTAATGCCAGTAACAGAATAAGTTAAGAATAAGAGTCTGTCAATAAGACTCTTTTCCCATCACCATTTTTTATTTTTCTCACCTAAACTATATGTTTGCACAGTGTTTTCCATAATTTTCCACATATTTCATTTCATTTTCTTTTTAAAATGTAAAGTGGGTAGAGAAGAAAACAAAATTTAAATCTTATCAACTGTAAACTCTAAAGCACCTAGGATACATCTGTGAACAAAAGAGCCCTGTCTCTCCACATGATCTGCATCTTAGTTCACTATTATTACACATTTGTAAGAGACACAACAGAAAAGCAACCAACTAATTCAACTAATATCTTCTTATACCAGGGCTGGCAGTAGAATACGATCAAGTGGTAGTGGACCTAAAATAACACAGGCTTCAAAATTGGTACTTCTGTGATTTGAATCCTAGTCCTATTGCTTGTAAACTGATTATGAGCAATAATCAGATTAGTTACTTAACCTCTCTGAACTCAAATCGAAAAACCCAAGAAAGATTTTGGAAAGTGAGCAAGGAACCTCCCAGAAAGAAATGGAAATAGGTCTCGCTTCAACTCATTATTTGGATTCAGGTGGGCATCCTAAGTCCAAGACCTCAGAGGGAATAAAAGGAATTTTAACAGAGAAAAATAAAATAGACTCCTTATACTTAGGTGGGGAACTGCCAAAAATCTCCTCATACATTTTTAAACTGTCTCTGTTACTATTCTAAACAGTCTTTTGTTACAAGTACCTAGCAGTTCTTTCCTCATTAGAGCTCTTCTATAACTGAATATGCCATTTTTGGCTACCGTGGGGCTCTATCACTGATGAGCCTCAGCTCCCCTGGTGAGGCAAGGCCATGGCTCCCACCCATCCCTCACAGCCATGGCAGGAGACCAGAGCACTAATTAATGTTTGTACTGATTCATCAACATAAACAAAAAAGTGAGCACATGCCATTTGACCATATGCTGAACCTGTGTTGCACTACTGTTGTCAAAAATCTTTATAATCATGCTATCTTTCTCCCATCACCAACTCCTTGAATCAGGGACTTTATCCCTACAATGCAATCTTCCAGGAAGACACTTAACAAGTGGATTCTATTTGAAACAAACAAAACCCACATTAAAATGGTATGGCAATAAAATATCTCCTAGAAGGAAGGCTTACTTGTCATCTTTCAGATGGTAACTCTGCCTTGAAGACGATGCCTCAAACACAGCGAAGCTGTATTTCTTAGATCCTCTGCATCAGTCCCACTTGCAAATGTTTTGTCCTATTGCCCCATAGTTGATTCATAGTTGTCAAACTCTGTGTCCTCATTCTATGATTGTAAAATGTGGTCATGGTGCTTAAAAATAAACTTCTATTTTTAAAAACTGACCTTAGAATTTGAGGTGTTTTATTTTTGAACTTGCCCCCAAAGCTTATTTCTTTGAAATCTAGGAGATTATTTCAACTTGCCTTCATGCAAATCCTTTAAGCCTGTGAACGTTGCTCTGCACAGCTCCCTGGAATCCTGGCCCTGCTGCCCGCCCAGTTGTGGTGGTTCCTGCTGCGCCCTTCTCTGCAGCCTCCAGGCACCACGCAGGCATCTCGCCCCTTGTGACTGCGCTCCGTGTTCTCAGGACCTGCTTCCTTCCTCTTTTCCTCTTCCTACCTACCTTTTGGAAACTCTTGTTTTTAGATCAAAAGTCAGATACTATTTAGGCTACTTTAGGAAACTGCTTAAAATCATTGCTCATCTCTCTTTTATGATGGAGGAAAAAAAGATAAGATGGGATATTTGGGTTGGTTGCAATGGTGGAAGGAGTTGGGGAAAAGAGATCAGAGGGAGATCTCACTACAGTGACCTGGAAGAATGCACCTCACTGGCTTCAATCCTCCCTTCCCCCCTAAAAGTAGTGCCCAATGGGCCCCCTATGAAATTATGCTACCCCGAAGTGCTATTTATATGCTCACTTACTCTTTCCTGTAGTCAGATTCCAGTATTGCCATTACGAAACCAGAGGTGAACTACATTTAGTGAGATAACACCCACCACAGAAGAGAAAGTGCAGAATAGGAAAGTATTTGAGACCCTAACCAGCCTCTCTATTTCCTTGAGAGGTGACAGATCATGTGGCCTTTGGAGCCAGCAACCAGTGTTAAAGTCTTGGCTGCCACTTACTAGCTGTATCAATTTGGATATGCTATTTAACCTCTCTGAGCCTCAGTTTCCCTACCTGTCAAGTAGAGATAAATAATGCCACTTAGCTCACTGGCTCATTAAAATTATTAAATGAAATAATACATGCAAAGCACTATGTGCCCAGCATATGTAGATAAGCTAAAGCATTTAGGATACATCAGTGAACAAAAGAGCCCAGTCTCTCCGCATGATCTGCATCTTAGTTCATTATTATTATGCATTTGTAAGAGACACACAGAGAAGCAACCAACCAATTTAACCAATAACCACTTATACCAGGGCTGGCTGTGGCGTGGGTTGGAGTGGTGGTGGACCTAAAATAACATAGGTTGCACAGTGGCCCACATAAGGGGAAAAAAAATCACTTTTACCTGTCTTGCTCTCAAAATAAGTATGCAATTATTTACATTCCAAAAATTTGGCTCATCCACCCTGGCATTCTTCAGTGACATACTGTGCCCTCAAAAGACCACTGCTAAAATATAATTTACTAAGGATAATGTTAACAAAAAATCTACCTGAAGTAAAAACTCAACAGGTTTTGCCATAGTCAGTCTATATTTTCCATTCTGCTTAAGTTTACCTCACTTCCCTTAGCATGGGCTTCCTGTGCCAGCATTTGACTCTAACATCTTTACCTTTCACTGTCTTTCTCATAAGCTACTGAAGTTCCTCCATTTAGTACTTTCCAGTTGACTGTTCCTGGATTGAATGAAGGAAGCTCTGAAACAGACGTTAGTCATCCCTGCCTGCTGCCAACAGATGGCAATAGTGATCACGCGAGGTTATTTTACTCCTGTTAGCCCTGCATGTGATGATTCTTAACTGGCCAAGGAGCAAGCCGGTGGTGTCTGTGCTGGGTTTTGAGGTGTTTACAAACATCATTAACCCTACAGCATGTCTTTTAAGTAAAAAACTAATGGCAGTTTTGAAAGTTATGTTAAGTATGAAATGACAATGAAAAGCTAGGAATAATTGTAAAAACTCAAAGTGATAAAAAAACAATAAATATTGTAGTTGTTGTGAAATGAATCAATCTGCGATATAGAAATAACTGTGAAGGACAATACATAGTGAGAAGTGCTGTACCTAAGCAATAAGCAATAAAGAAAGAAAAAATAACTGAATAAGTAAAAAACGTGAAAACAAAATGCAAACACAACAAAACACTCTCTGCAGTTAGAGAATAAGCATCAGTATCAGATAACGATTAGTCATATGACAATCTAATATTAATGCAGAAGCGACTAGGATTTATTTGAGGCCTGAAAGGAGCGGTCCTCAGCCTTAACTGCACTCTAGAATCATCTGGGGAATTTTAAAAATCCTAAACCCCAGGCAGTAGCCCAGGCCAAGGTCTCTGGGGGTGGAAGCCAGGCATTGGTCATGTTTAAGGCTCTTCAGGTGATTACAACATGCAACCAAGGTCATGGACCACTGCCTTCAAATCTATGCAGGGGGAAATGCAGCCACTACTGGTTCTATGGATTAATATCCACCCAACTGTACAGGTCGGTGTATGATAAGCATGGATACCTAGCAAGAAGTACTTCTTTGATATTTGTATCTTCAAGGAGACAAATTACCTGCCTCAAAGGACTTTTTGTTTTATATTCTTGAAACTCGTCTGGGTGAAGAATATGTATTACTAAGAAAAAAGAGTGTACACCTTATTTTAAATTTTGAAAGAAGCTATTTATATGTGTATGTGAAGAATATGGATCACAGAACTACAAGCTTCAATATCTCTTAGTCATTTCCGTGAATCCATTTACAAACAAATGGACACACAAAGATACCAGTGTCTTTCCCTTGCTTACCTCTCTAAGCAATTAGACTAATCCTTGGTCTACCTACTCATTCAGTACATTCTGGTTACTATCTTTCATCTTTCATACTTAAGTTCGGCATTAAAACAAAAGGATCGTTTAATTCTCAATTCAAATCAATCAGGCTCTTCTTACTGCAGTCCGCTTTTACCTTATCTGCCATTATCATAGAGGATCCCCCATGGATGCCGAGGATGGGGGTGAGAGTCTGGGCTGAAATGAAGTCAAGGATCTGGGCGATGGCTTCCTGGTCAGTGTCATCAGCAAACACCACCCCCTGGACTTTCCGGTCAGACATCAGATCACAGATACGGGTGATGATGCTCTTTGGATCGGTCTCATTCATGGCTACCAGCTCCACACGTGGCACCACAGACAGATGGTGGAAATCATCTTTCTCGTGGGCATCCTTGATGGCCACCTCGTCTGAAGTGCCCACGAGAATGACAGCAATGCCAATGCTGGGTGGGCTCTTCTGAGAACGAGCTCTGCTGCCCGACACAGCCAGGACAGCCAACACCAACCAGAACTTGGGAGAACAGCACTCTGCTCTGGGCTTCATCTTCAACTCGTCGACTCCCTGAAAACAGAAAGACAGAATGGTTATATCACAACCCACGCTACATGACCTACCTGTCTTTAAAGAGGCTGGACATTGCAAGTCTAGGGCCTTTGCTGATCTTCAATTCCAATGTCTATCTTCTAGCCTGGCTTCTTATAACCTCTTGTGTTTGTTCAGAGTGAGAGAAAAACTTTCAAAAGCATCAGAAATCCTTGAGCAAGACAATAAAAGATGCTACCAACTATAGCTATCAGCAGCAAACAGACAGAGACAAATGAGGAAAAGTGGATGCAAGTGGTCCAAGCAGTAATGTCAAGTGCACAAATGCAGGAGTCTCCAAGAGGGGGTCTTGCTGTTGTTACATGATCCTTGGCACTCCTATCACAATCTGCCCTTGAACCAAGGAGATGGCATAGGCCAGGCAGAGAGAGCAGTAAAATGGGCTAGCAGAGGCTAGCAACAAAACGTGGTGTGGATAAGCTAGATATAGAGAGCTACAGATATAAGCCCCACGTTTTTGCTGCCTTTATTTCATGTTCACCTCAAAAAGGAAAAGAGACTGAAAGCTCTTCAGTAAAGCTTTTAGTGTCTGGCTCTTAATATTAAATTTTTTAAAAAAACCAATATATGGGCAGTACTTTAAAAAACATCTTAATTGATCCTTACAACAACCTAGTAGGGGTAAAAAATAAGAAAGATACTGTTATCCCCCTTTTATAGGTGTTGAAGCTAAGTCTCAAAGAAGCTAAAGAAATCCAAAACCATTGAACCACTTAAGTGAGAAAAAAAATCCAGATATTCTGATTTTTAGGCCAATTTGCATTCCATTGCATTATATCACAATGCTTCTCAAATCACACATTATTACAAGGAATTGTTTTACTTTGATTTGTTCATGCATCAAAATATGGTAATTTTGACAAATACTACTGATAACTGCAGTAATGTCAGAGCCACTTTTAAAAAATTTTCCATGGCACCCTATAGTAGTGACTGTCCTAAAGCGACTGACTCCATGTTTCCACACAATTCACCATCTTTTACCTATAACAAACCCCTACTCTTTACTTCCACATATGCCCCCAAGTCTTACACTATGCCCCAGACTGAGGACACAGTTCTATATAGAACTTGGTAATTTCTCTTTATATTTCTCACCATTTTCCAAGAGCTCCTCTTATTTAAATAGAACTAGACCTGCTCCAATTGTTTTGATTTGTTTTAAATAATAATTTATTGCTCCTTATTATATGCTGTGTACTGTGTTAGGCATTTCCTCATATGGAGTCTCTTTGGTTCTCACTGAAACTCTATAAACTATTTTATCCCCAACTCGCAAACAGAGAAACTGAAGCTTAAAACAGTTACGTAATGTTCCCAAGGTCAATACCAGCATGCGAATACATATACTTAGCATTTTTATACTCCAAAGAAATATTCTGCAAACTGCACCCAAAACCAGAATCAGTGATTCTCACTATTCTCCAAAGAGAAAACCTATGTAATCAATGATGAAAACGCTGCCTAATATCTCATGCTTGTTTGAAAAAAAAAAAACACACATTAAGATATTAGGGATCTAAAAACTCTGAGAGTTTAGCTAACAAAAGAAAACAATTATGATAGTGTTGATTAAAGAGAGATAAGGATATCAGGCTAAGTAGACTGACTGCAAAAGGGCATTAATGATTTGGAAGTAAAATGTTGGGGACATTTTGTGGCTGAAGAAGCACAAAATCCAATCCAGTTCTTGGCAGAAAACACTTTGGAACTCTTGCTGCTGTAGTCATCCTTCCACACTGCCAAGGAGACCTGTATTGATCACCTTGTCTATCTCTTGCGAATAAGATGAGTAGCTCAGAGGTTCACGCCTGAGCAAAGTTTACTCCTGACAGTTCTCTGGTCTGCGTGTCCCCGTGGAAACAGAGAATGACTGAGGGAGCCCTGGAAGCCCATGCTGATGAACTGGACCCAATCGAGCAGGGGAGCCAGGGCGTGGATTCCTCCTGCTCGAGTTAAAGCAGAGCAGCACGACACAGAGTTGAGCAGCTCTGAATATTCAGAGTAAGACCGATGGATTTAGCATCTTGAATAACTGTTGGCAAAATAATAATAATAATCTGTTCAATTTCAAGGACTGGTTCTCAAGGAGAACAAAAATTTAAAATTTGGCAAGACTAGCAGCTTACTTCATTCCAATGGGAATCTAATCATTTAGTTACCAGCCACTAAATCAGATTCCTTTACATTGAAAAGTGGTCCACTCTGTCGTGACAGTTTATTAACTTTAATGCACTCTACACTTCCTATTTAGTGTTTTATTTGCTCTCTTAAAAATATCTCTTGTGTTCCTCTATTTCTTCTCACACAATATTTTACACTTTGTTATGCAATGGCTAGTTGTGACACTCAAAGAATAGAATCTGGTTTTCCTGAGTGTCTCTTTTATACTCAGAATAGAGCAAAGCACATGCAAAGCAATACATTATGGGAGATACCAGTAACAGAGGGACTGTGAGACAAACAAAGAGGCTGCTGTGAATACAAACTCAATTTCACACATTAGAAGGGGGTTAGTTGGGAGAAAGCATGTAGTCCAAGATAAGTAAATTGGTTTTGTTCCCTTCCACAGACAGACCACAGTTAGTCTTAATGTACCTGCTATATGAAGCTTTGCCTGTTCCTTTCCACTGCTTCTCAGCTTCCCCCAGTAGAATTGCGCATTGTTTCATTTTGACTATCACCCTAGCCTGTATGTGACAATCTAAATACTTGTAAGAGTTTAATATAATTATATGAATACGTGTGTCCCTATCTTAACCAGTTGGTAATCTCCTGGTGGGCAGAGACCTTTTCAGTTCAGTAAGCATTTATTGAGCACCTACTACCAGGAGATATTGTTATTAGTGTTGGGGATGCAACTAACACAGGCTCTAACCTCCACATCCACAGTCTGGTAGGAGATACAGAAACACAAAGAAGACCTTGTCTCATTTTCATTTGCATTTTTTGGGGGTCTAGCAGGCCCTCAAATATAATAAGGAAGGATCCAATAAATGACAGCCACAAAGTTTCTACCATTATAAAATTGTCAATATTTGACCACTTTTTACCTAAAATAATAACCTATTTTACATATTGTATATTTATAGTAATATTTTACTTATAACCTATTATATGCCAGGCACTGTTATTTCTAGGTAATTTTCATGTAGTGTTAAATCACATGTAAACATTACAAGTCATGATTTTTCCTTATATTACAACTAAGGAAACAACTTCTGAGAGGTTAAGTATATGATCAAGGTCACACAGCCAGTAAGGGATGTCATCAATTGTCAAACCAAAGTTTGTCTATCTCCCAAACACTTGCTCTTTCCATTCTGCTTCCTCTCAGTATCAGTATGTGAATGAACAAATAAATAAATTAACAAAAGAATAAATGAAATCCCCAACCAAAAACAAACTGCACTCTAATACCAGTTCCACATTAACTAAGTGCCTGAGGATGGGCAAATCACTTAATCAAGGTCTCAGAATTCTTACAGGTGAAATCAGGATAATGTACTAACCTACATAACTAAAAGAGTTTTTGTGAGGATCAAATAATAATATGGAAGTGCTTTGAAGAAAAGGATGTTAACTTTAAGCTTCTATAGAAGTTGTTCAAGGATCCTAGCTATTTATGAAAGCACAAAGTCAGCATGTGGGAGGTGGTGGGTGACAGAATGGTAGACAGAGGCTGAGAGGAATGTTAAGAGGAACCTCACAGGAGGCAAGTGATATTAGTTCCATGACGATTATAACTCCCTGGAAAAGATGTCATATAATGGCCTCAGAGTAGCAGCAAACTCCACTGACAGCTTACCAGCTGTCTAGCAGAAGGCAAGAGTCACTCAGGTCAGGATCAATAATGGAAATCAGTGGAGCTCAAGGCCCCCCAGATAAGACCCTGGCCCTGAATTCAGGCACTAGGGTACCCAAACAGCCAAGAAAAAAGCAGCTGCCAAGAATGTAGAGAAAACGGAACCCTAGTGCACTGTTGGTGAGAACGCAGACTGGTGCAGCTACTGTGAAAAACAGTATGGAATTTACTCAAAAAACTAAAACTGGAACTGCCTTTTGACCCAGCAATTCCACTGCTGGGAATATACCTGAAGACTCTCGAAACACCAATTCAAAAGAATTTATGCACTCCCACATTCGTATCAGTGCTATTTACAATAGCCAAGATTTGGAAATAGCCTAAGTGATCACCAGTAGATGAGTGGATTAAGAAAAATCTGTGGTACATTTACACAATAGAATACTACTCAGCAGAAAGAACAAATTTGTACCTTTTGTGACAGCATGGACAGAACTGGAGACTATTATGCTGAGTGAAATAAACCAGCTGTAAAAAATACCATATGATCTCACTTATAAGAGGGCTCTAATGAACAAAATAAATTAATGAGCAAAATAGAACCAGAGGTATAGAATCATGGAACAGAATGACCACTGCATATGGGGAAGGTGAGGTGGGGACTGATTGAAAGAAGGTGAAGGGATTAGTCAAAGAACATGTCTGAAGGACCCATGGACATGGACAGTGGTGTGGGGACTGACTATGAAAGAGTAGGGCAGGCTGGGTGAAGGTGGGCAAAGGGGGAAAAAGTGGGACAACTGTAATAGAATAAACAAAATTTTTAAAAAATGAAATCAGAAGATACTATTGGGAAAAAAAAAAAAAAAGAAGAAGCAGGATTAGAGAGTCAATTGTTCACCCTTTGGCCCTCTGCCTCTTTGACACTTGAGCTCAGTGGTTCCCAGATCTACAGCAAGCAAAAGACCACAGTAGCCTACGTTCAAGCCTATCATTTGCACAGTAACTACAGCAGGAAAGAGTCTAAACTTTGCTGTCCACAGTAGACTCCAAGAGAAGACACATCTGAGTGAGAAGCTGGGCCAATCTTGTCCTCAGAAAAAACTAAGTCCTGGGGCAACCTCAACCGAGAGGA